AGTTTTTTAAAAAAAATGAAACAAAAATGAGTACATATTGAGAAATATACTTTGTTTAAATGTAATTCATATACATATTATAACACATGCATCATATGCTTAAGATTTGTTTACTAAGCTTTAGCTCATTTCATGTTATCCCTCCTCATTTCCAGATTATGAATGTAAGATGATTTGAAATGACGACTTATGGTGACATAGACGCAGTATTATAGCATTTAAATGTTAAATTCCTTTTTGTAATTAAGCTTAACATTCAATTTAATTGTTCTAAATTTATCAAGCACAAATTATTTTAAAATAATAAATCATTGATGATTATTAAATTGGAAAAAAAATTTGAACTTTCTCTCCACATTTATGATTTTAAGAGAAAATTAAATGATAAAACTTTCAAATCTATTATCAAAAATTGGGGTAAAGCCTCCATCACTTTAGATCTCAGATGGTTGCTCCGTATTTTTTTTTTTTTTTTTTTTTATGCTTTCAACTGATACCCTTGTAAAAAGTGGTGTTTCCTATAATATAGAATTGGAATAACAATACTCGGCCAAGAGCAACAGCAATTATGGAGGTGAAAAGGTGGTGTGGTAGATAGTGATTGAGCGTTATGTTGTGTTTTTATTTTAATTTATTTTTTATTTGTTTTTTTTTCCAAACTGTCAATCATGTATTAACACGTGTTCCTTTTGTCATTGAACATGTCATTGAGTTTATCACTGTAGCAAGATTGATAGAATTGACTGTAACTCTAATTATGCAAGGCTTTACGTCAACTCCTTCTATTCAACTTTCAATATTAATAAATAAACTGTCTATTCAACCTATGTTTGAGATCCATTATTTGGAAAAAAAAATGATTTTGGAATAGTGTTTTTGAAAGAATATGTGATTAAAAAGTAAAAAGAATTTTTGAGTTTACGAATATATTATTTTATTGAGAGAATACGTGGGTCATAAAAGGAGAGCGAGGAAAATGAATTAAAATTTAATGGAGGCCAAAGAAGAGCTTAATTTCATTTATCATTTTTTATTTTTTATTTTTTATTTTTTTAAGGAAGCAATAATTATGCTAGTTGAACGTGTTGGGAGCAGCCGTAGTAATAATTTAGAAGGTGGTCCTAATGCAATCATTTAGTCAAGTCAAAGCCCAATGGGGTGAGTACAAGAAAAAGGATTGACAAATCGTCACCGCACTGGTCACTTCCTCTCGGACACATAACAACAAAATATCATTATTATGCTTTTTCTCTTAATTTACTTAAGATTATTTTTATAGAATAATTAAAGTCGGCTAAAGTCGGCCTCTCTCTCAAATTGTTCAAAGTCCGGACATAACAAATTGCATTTACTATCGGAGTTTATAAAAAAATATTATCTAAATTTAAAGATGTTGTTTAGTATGTGTAAGGTAACTTTTTAAGTAGAGAATCTCTTAAATATGCTCTCATGCATAGACTCGTGTTCAAATATTATTAGGATTAATAGCACAGAACATCCCTACGTTTGACACTTATTGCGAAAAATGTCCATACGTTTTATTTTTTGCATTTTTACCCTTATTTCAAAGTTTTATTGAAGAAAACGTCATTTTTACCATTTTTAATGTAAAATGACCAAAATACCCTTCCATTTAAATGAAACCAAAAACAAAATAAAAAATAAATTGCAATCTTACTCCAAATTGCAATCTTACTCCTAAATGTTTTAAAAAGTACAAGTGAATCCAATTAATTATTAAAATGCCTAATAGGACAAAACGTTCATACGTTTGACCTATAGTATGCAAAACGTTCATACGTTTCAAATTGGTGAAAATAACTTTTTTTGCAATGAAACGTGAAAATAGGAATGAAAATGAAATAAAAATGAAACGTAGGGGCTTTTTTCATAAGAAGTATCAAATGTACGGATGTTTTGTCTTATTAGATCTTATTAAAATATTAAAAATAACAAAAAAAAAAAGAAAAAAACTCTCCTCTCTCTCTCTCTCTCTCTCTCTCTCTCTCTCTCTCTCTCTCTCTCTCTCCTTCTTCTCCAAATGAATTGTCACCTTAGAAATGAAAAAACTTCGATCAACCATCGTCGAAACCGTCAAACCTCCATACCGCTGAACCATCTGTTGATATTTTAAAACCATGAAAAGAAATGCCCTGGTGAGTATCGATTGATATTTTGGAAATGACATGGGTCTCTCTGAAATAGGTGGTGCATCTAGAGTTAGGGCAATTGTATTTTGGAAATGGTATAGAGGTTTGGCAGTTTGGACAATGGTTTCAATTTTAATAAGGCCTAATAGTACAAAACGTTCCTATATTTGACACTTTTTGCGGAAAATATCCATAAGTTTCAATTTTTTTTATTATTATTATTATTATTTTTTTTTTGTATTTTCATATCTATTTCCACGTTTCATTACGAAAAATATTATTTTCATATAGGAACGTTTTGCATATTACAGGCCAAACATAAGGACGTTTTGTGCTATTAAACTTTTTAATAATTATTTGGACTCATTTGCACTTTTTAAAACATTTAGGAAAAAGATTGCAATTTATTCTTTATTTTTCTTTTCTTTTCTTTTTTTGGCTTTGTTTAAATAAGAGGGTATTTTGACTATATTACATTAACAAATGGTGAAAATGACGTTTTCTGCAGTGAAACATTGAAATAAACGCGATAAAGCAAAAAAATGAAATGTATGAACTTTTTCACAATAAATGTCGAATGTATAGACGTTCTGTGCTATTAACCAATATCATTATCAACTTGTTAATTTTGTGAATAAGCATGTTATATTCTCGTTCAAAGTAACAACTATAAAGACGTGTTTACTGGCAAGCTATTAATTGGTATGTGTAAACCTCTTTTCTAAAGGTGTAATGTTATTGATCAACATCGTTGTAGTATGATATTAAGTCCCTGATTGGTAAACATTCTTTCAATTTATTTATTTATTTTTGTTATATTCATTTTCAATTACACATTCTCATGATAAAATATTCTTCACGCAAATTCAAAATATTTTTCTTACTTTTTAATAATACATTCTCCAAAATTTACTATTCAATAACTCATCCAGGAAAAAAAATCTATCAAACAAGGACTAGAGTGTTCTAAATGTCAATGTTTAAGCTTTTTCGTTATTTAATTTGATACGAGTAGTGCTAGTATATAGGGGAAAACTGACAAGGGGATTTACGGGGAGAATTTGACATTTGGTCATTGGGAGATGACAAAAAAAAAAAAAAAAAAAAAAAAAAGGAGGTAATCATACATGGCACCTGTAACTGCTCTAGCAGTTATTCCCCTCATTTGATATTTATTTGACTCAATTGAAACTTGATTTAATTGTGTTTTTTGCTGTGTGTGTGGGAAATTATTAGATAATAAGAAAATGTGTTGATAATAATAAGCCCTTGTTTGTGATTCATTATAATGAGTTTTTTTGGGATAACGTATTTTAAAATAGTGATTATTATTATTATTATTATTTTTAGAGCGTGGTTACAAACTTACAAAGGAAAGAGATTTTTTTAATTTACGTGTATTATTATTTTACTAGAAAATGTATGATTAAAATGAGGACAGAGAAAAATATATCACATTATAAGGTTATACTATATGTACGTAATAATTTATATAATGATTTATCAAGTGATAATGTGACGAGATTTAATTGAATTAAAATCCCATCAATCAAATAACTTATCCACTTACATTTAGGCTATGTTTGATAAACCATTTTTTTCCATGGAAAATAGAAAATGAATTCCATATTCCACTTTTTGCTTGTTTGATAGCAAAAATTTTCTTGACAATTGGAATTCTTGCTTTGCCCCACACGGTTACCATTTCTTGGTTTTCCTACCACTTTGGTCGTTTTTTGTTTTCCATCTTGTTTTTTTTTTAAAATTTTTTTCATGTAAATCAAAGCCAAACGAATACCAAAAGATAGATATTTTTTGTTTTCTTGGATTTTTTATTTTTATTTTTATTTTTGCAATGGAAACAAATTCAATGAACAATTGGAAAAAAGGATGTCCCTTAAATTAACAATTTCAATGAAAAATAAAGTCAAACAAATACTAAAAGACACTTTTATTTCAACGTTTTTTCAGTGAAAAATTATACCAATCAAACACTATTAATTAATAATTCTCACTAAAACAAGTTCTATGTAATTCAATTCCCTGCAATTCGTTTTCTTTCCACCCAAATTCAATTCTCGCAATCAAACGAACTCTTAGATACATCATCATTATCTAAAATATTGTGTAAAATATATACATGTATAAGTAGTACTTTCCTTCATTATAATGGAGATCAATTAGGGGCTAAATAATAATTAAGAATGTATCATTAAAATTAATCTTTAAATTTAAATTAATAGAAAAATGAAATCAAAATAGAAGTCGGACTTTGACCAGCAGTTACATCATTTATCAACTTTCTTATCTTTTTTCTTTAAAAATAGAAAAAGAGGGATTCGAATTGGATACTGCAACCAAATTACGTCGGCACCAAGCGTCGAACCCTAGATTTGGTGGACAAGTGGTGGGGGCTTATGCTGTGTAAATTCCCAGTCAAAATACTAATATTATTAATATATGTTAGTGTTTCAACCACGTTATTTTGTAATATTATATTTTGAAATAGTACATTAATAATTAATGTGTAGCTAAAAATAAAAAAAATTTGAATTTACGCATAATATTATTTTATTAAAATTTTGTTTGTCTACAATACTTATTTTCATCCCCGCATCTTTTATTAAAATAATATTACACGTAAATAAAAAAAATTTCCTTTTCTTAACCAAACATTTCAACGTCAATCTCTATTTCATAATACATTCTTCACAAATAATGGGGCACAAACACTCCTAAAGAATGTAAACGTAAAATAATATCAAATTATTATTTAAAAATATATTTAAAAAAAAATTGTGATTCAAACATGTTCATCAATCTCATCCCGTCACAATACATTCATCTGGCCAAAGGAGCATTATTATTAGTATTATCCCCTATTGTGGCGGCGCGAGTAGTGGCGGTGGAACCTCTTAAATACTTCCACCACACCATACTCGAGAACCACCGCCATCGTCTCGGTACATTCGCGAATTGATTCTTTCCATTTTTATATTCTCCTCAAAAAAATTTCGATTTTCCAATAAAAAATATCACTTGCCAACGAAAGTTCTGGCTTTTTCGTTATCCACATCTCCCTCTCTATATAACTCCATATCGATCGTCTACGTTTTCTTGAGCCTCACATTTCCGTGTCTGCAAATTTTCTTGCATTACCTTCTATACGACCCGTTTTCAAGCCCGTTAAGTTATTCATTATCGCCATGGCAACTTGTGTACACTCTTCAAGAAGAGAAAGCCCTCCTCAGACAAAACCAAACAGAACCCGTGTTGATGATCATGTGATTCAAAATTATGTTAAATATTGTAGACCCAATTCTGCTGACATTGTTTCTTGTGTCCATATTTCAGAGAAAAAGTCGAATGCCCTCCACACGTGTGCACCCACAGTTTTGGATGATGGTAATGCTAATCATGAAGAAGATGTGGATAATTTGTGGCAGGTGATGAAGGACGAGGCCAGGTCAGATATTGATCAAGAACCCATATTGTCGAATTATTATCTCAGTTCAGTTTTATTGCATGATTCTATGGAAAGTGCTCTGGCTAATCATCTGGCCATGAAATTGAGTAATTCTAGCCTGCCTAGTGGTACCCTATATGATCTTTTCCTAGGGGTGCTCACAGAGAATCAAGATATTATGAGAGCTGTAAAAGATGATTTAAGGGCAGTTAAGGAGAGGGACCCTGCTTGTATTAGTTATGTTCACTGTTTCTTGAATTTCAAAGGATATTTAGCTTGCCAGGCTCATAGGGTAGCACATAAGTTATGGTTAACGGGGAGGAAAATCCTGGCTCTGTTGATACAAAACAGGGTTTCTGAGGCTTTCGCTGTGGATATTCATCCCGGGGTGAAAATCGGTAGGGGGATTTTACTTGATCATGCTACTGGAGTTGTCATTGGAGAAACAGCAATAATTGGGAATAATGTTTCAATTTTGCATAATGTGACATTGGGTGGCACTGGTAAGGTATCTGGGGATCGGCACCCAAAAATTGGCGACGGGGTACTGATAGGGGCAGGTACCTGTGTTTTGGGCAATGTTAGAATTGAAGATGGGGCTAAGATTGGTGCAGGGTCTGTAGTGCTAAAGCAGGTGCCTGCCAGAACTACTGCTGTAGGGAACCCTGCAAAATTGATTGGAGGGATAGAGAATCCCATTAAGCTAGACAAATTGCCTAGCTTGACAATGGACCATACATCTCATATATCTGAATGGTCTGATTATGTTATCTAGAGCATCCATTTTTCTAGTTTTGCTCCTTGGTGATGTCTATGTAGTAGGCAGGATTCGAGTCTTTTGTTTATGCTTTTATGAGAGAATTGAAGTTCTCCTATGAGCTCCGCTTAGTGATGCTTTGTACTTGAATAAAATAAGCCTTTCTGGGCTTTGAGATTTTGTATTATACCGTTACATTCTCTATAATGAATAATTGTTAGCTCTATTTACTGAAGTTTGAAGTAAAATATTCTTGGTCTATTCCTTATAATCTATGATGGTCCAATGTTTGAATAGACAAGCAGGCAAACGGCTAGCATCTTTTATCTCCTATGTTTTTAGCTATGTAATATTTCACATCCTAGATCGCATTTTGTAGATAGAATGCTGCTGCTTCCTTTTAATTCGTGATTAATTACTGTTCATTTTTTTTATTGTTTTCCTATCACCATCTGAGGATATTTTCAATTTTTCGAGGTGTACTGTAGTGTATTCAAGGGAATTGTTTCACAGGTCATCTATTTTGAGTTAGCTTCTGCTGATTTTTCTTTATCAGGGAATCTAGATCAAGGCAATTTGAGTTGAACTTCAGTAATTACATTAATTTTGTATTTCAATTACCATGCATTCTTCTGTTGTTTGTACTATAAAATTCTCGTAGCTATATATCCTTGCAGGCTTCTTTGGTGTTCATGGCACTAATGGTATTAGTAGTTTTAATTTTCAGAAGTGGTGATTGTTCTCTCCCATTAAATTGATTTCTCTTGACAGTTCCCACACCTGTTCACAAATTTGTCTCCTGTGTCTTGACTGCAAATTATTTTATTACTAAACATTAGGCTATAGGTGAGTTCAATGGGTTTAGTGCTTGGAAGTATTGATATCCTCATCTCACTGAAAATTAGATTCATTTGGAAGTGCCTATCTTACAGTATTCTGCACTGTGAATTGTAGTTGTGAGATAGAGAAATTTCTTATGGGAAAAATGTCGGTGAGAAACTTGTGTTATGTCTAGTGCTTATCTCTCTCATGTTTATCAAGATCTGCTAGAGAAGTAGAAATCCGGAAGAAACTACAAATCTTTGCCAGGAAAAATAGGAATGGTGATAACCTGAGCCATCAGTCAACTATTTTTGTACTCCTCCTTTCTTGTTCTGGGCCTCGTAAAATTACTCCAAGCTGACATTCCTTGTACACTGGGAGGGTCGCAAGACTCGGTGCTGCCATTATACATTGTGAAAGTTGTGTGCTTCAAAGCTATTCTTTTTTCTTGGCTAGTGATAGTGGCGAATCCAGGATGTTGAGTCAGCATGGGCGGTTGTTGACCGTGGATCTTCGACCACATAAAATATTAAGAGCTCGTTTGATGTCTTTTTTGGCAAGAAATACATTTTGGAATAGTGATTTAATGGAAAATGTGTAGTTAAAAATTTAAAAAAAAAATTGAATTTGTATGTAATATTATTTTATTAGTGAATGTTAGATCGAAAATAAGAGCAAGAAAAATGTATTATGAAATAAATGGGAATCAAACAAAGCTTAAATTTTAAATAAAATAATTATTTTGCTGAAATTGAACATATATAATTCTATTATATGAATAAATCGTACTCACCAAATGACATTGTTGCTTTGCATAATTCAAAGGATAAGCGCGGCTTCGATTTTTGCCAATTGCATCAAAATCCCTAAAATCTTACATATATTGTTTTGTTAAATTTAATAGCACAACGTAGCAGTTGTCATAGTGGTCCAGCATTCAGCATTTCCAAGAGTAGCCCAAGGTTCGAATCTTCTTTGGTGCAATCTTTATTACAAGAATTTTTGGTAAAATTGTATAGCTAAATATGTTATACAATAAATTGAGTGGCAAAAGATTCGAACCCGGGACTCCCAAAATAACTATCCAAGTGGTAACCAACTCGGCCAGAAGGAATGGGCAGAATAACAACGAATTACCAGAAATATATTCTAAACCTTTATCTATTCTCAAACAAAAAAAAGGGCTTCCGGCAGATCTAGCACGCGCGATCGCGGGGGCTTGCCAGGTACTGGATCCACCAGTGGCTAGTGATCACCTTTATGATCTCGAGAGAACGGGAGACTGAAATCTGTGATTTTCTCACCTTTGGAAGCCATTCTGGACCACTTTATATTAGAACCGGGTTTACGCGTAGCTTTTGCATAAGAAGGTTCATATTTTTACGTGGTTTTGATAAAAACTATAGAGTGTTAATTGAAGCTATATAATGCATATTGTTATAGTTTAAGATTGAGAGTGTTAGATTTTGTTTGTTAGTTTAATCGAGTTTATATGCTCGCGAGGATTAGACAGTCTGGGAATAAATACTTTATTTATGGTGGAAATTACACTGCTACCGGTATTTAAACTTCGTTCTGCAAAAGTCGAGTGCAAAGATTATTTAATCAAAATTCAGGTTTGAAATTAATAATTAAAAATATATATCTACAAACCCTAGGCTAAATCAATTTCCCTCTTTCCATTCTCTCCCATCTCTCTCGCTACCCTGTCCGTTGAACTGTCGGAGTCCACCGCCCACATCAAAAATCCACCGCCTTCAACTGCCGGAGTCCACCACCGCCCGGAGCACCGTTGCCGATGCTGCTGTAATGAAGAGGAGATGTCACGACGAAGATACACCAAGCCGCCGAGAAGCAGATCAACTATGCCGCCACACATTTCCTTTCGTGAATCATCGCGAGTTGCAATGGTGAAATGACGGCGGCGGCGGCGAAGGCGAAGCAGCATCTTCACAGGAGAAGCACTGTACCAGTCAGCACGAAGCAGATTCACTGCACCACCGTGAAGCAGACTCACTCCGACGACTATTCACAGGCGAAGCACTATACCAGCTTGGTGTTTTATGGTGATAGTGTGGTGTTTGTGTGGTGGTGGATCTAGCAGTTGTGTGGTGGGTTTGGATGGTTTTTCTTGTGGTGGTGGAGGTGGTGGTGGTGGTGCTAGTGCAGTGGAGGCGAGGATAATGTTGGTGGTAGCTGTAGGTGGGACGGCGTGGTGATGGTACAGTGGAGGTGGCAGTTGCATTGGCGGTCATGTTAGTGGCGGTGGTTGTAGGTAAGACGACCTGGGGTAGGAATGTTTGTTAGTGTTTGTGACTGTGTTGCAGGTGACCACGGTGGTGGTCGTCAATTTTTTGGTGGTGGTGGCGATGGTGATGGTGATGGGGTGAGGGCGATGGCCAGTGGCGTTGGAGGTGGTGGTGGTATTGTGGTGGATTGGATTGGGTGCTTGGTGTCTGTGACCAACTATTCAGTGCCTGTGACTGACTATTAATCAGTAACTTTCAAATTCGGTCATTTTGTGACTAAAAAACTAATCTGTGACCATCAAATTTAAAAATATGTGACTTGTGACCTATAATTTTTTGAATTTGTGAGCAATAACATAAATTATGACCTATAAAATCGTTAGATAAATTGTGATCTGTGATTTTGAAATAATTTGTGACCTATCAAAATTTTGATTTATGACTTCGAAATAATTCGTGACTTCGAAATAATTCGTGATCAATTAATTTGATGATATATGACCAGTGAATAAATCTGTGACATTAATTGTGTACACTTGTCCATTAATTTTATTATTATGACTTTATTATATTCAAGTAATAAATATTTTTAATTAATTAAATAAAAACCTGATTTTTACATTAGTTAAACTTAAAACATGGTCTTTGAATTGTGCATAGTTAATACATGATTTATGAATTTTTCCCTTATTTATGTATCACCGCTGAACGCTATCGAAAGAACGAGATTACTAAGGTGTTCAAGTGCAAGGAAAGATGTTGGACAACCACATACTTATATGAACTGAAGTTCCTCAAGTTAGTTATCAAATACACTCAAATAAGTCATATATATGAGATCAACGGCTATGAAATTCAAGTTGAAATTTATGTCGTCGTGAATTCATGGAAAGGTTGGAAGAGATCCTAAAGTTTGCTGAAGTAGGATTTAGATGTTAAATCAATTAATGTCACATCACCAATTGTTCGAATCACATTCTCTGTGAATATAAGGAGTATTGAATTACTTTGATTAATGTTTTATTATTTTAATTATTTTCAGATTTATTTTTTGTCAATATAGCTAGTAAAATATTGTAGCCGAGGCGGTTATTGGATGATTTATTTAAATCATAAAAATCTCAAAAAAATTACATTTTTATTTTATTAAATTATAACTCTTGCACTATATAAATTCCTCTTTTTCTTAAAAAAATGCACTAAAAATCATTTTGATCTTGTGTACTTTCATACAAAAACGATTTAAGAATTTTTATTTTATTAAATTATGAATTTAAGTTATAATTCTTTCACTCTATATATACCTCTTTTTCTTGAAAAAAAAAATATGCTGAAAATCATTTTAATCTTATGCGCTTTCATACAAAAACGATTTAAGAATTTTTATATTATTAAATTATGAATTTAAGTTATAATTCTTGCACTCTATATATACCTCTTTTTCTTGAAAAAAAAAATGCTGAAAATCATTTTAATCTTATGTACTTTTATACAAAAACGATTTAAGAATTATTTTACCTATATTTTGTTTTGGAGCAGAACTTGAAAGTTTTGGAAACATTTTGTAATTGCTGCACAAGTGATTTGATTGTTGTATCTTAGGAATGATTATCCAAAAAGGTCGCACTAATTAACAATGGGCAAATTTACTTTTCTACATCGTATTGCCACAAATCTCAATCGTTCAATAAGGTTTCTTCTTTGCATTTCACTATTCTGTAGTCAGGGGCGGATTTAGACAGTTCGAACTGTGGGGTCAAATTTTTTTTTTCGAACAACGTATCGTGAACAAAAAGAAAAAATAGGTTGTTTGTTGTTCATGTTTGATGTGTACACTTTGGAAAGAAATGGTGGATTATACGATATATCTATGGACTAAATAATAGATATGGATCATGTGATATGGATATAGATTTAGGATATGGACATTTTGAGGCAGAAAATTAAATTATCAGCAAAAAAAAATAAAAAATTGTGGGGTCATTTGGCCCCACATGACCCCATATGGATCCGCCCCTGTCTGTAGCAGTGTTTGCTACTGATTTTTGTCTTACAATCTAAATTAAAATTCTTAAAAGTTAGTTGCTATACTTGCGATGGATACTCCAAGTTCTAAGTATTTTGAAAAACTTGAATTGTATGTGAAAATTTTAAGAGATGTTAA